TGTGTGTGTGTAGGGGAGTGGGTGGGCAGGGAGGCCCAGGGAGGGAGCTGGCTGGCGGATCTGCAAGGAGCACAGTGATGGGCTGCGCTCCTCTGGGCTGCGACCTCTGAGCGTGTGCGAAGGTCTGATTGGTGGTTTGCGCAGAGGTCCTCAGACTAACTAACGCCTGGCTGTGGCGCACCTCCGGGGCGAAGGTGGGGCGGGTCTGGCCTGTTGGACCCCGAGAGCCCCGAGGCGGGGCGGCTCGGCCTCTGCTGTGCACTTAGCTGCCTTTGTCTCTTAATTGGTGAATTCAGTCTGTTAACATCCAGTGTTGTTATTGATAAATATGGTTGAAATATTTTTTATGGTGTTCCTAGTTTTAGTTTTGATGATTTTTTGTGTTGTGTTCCTGTTGTTTTTTGGTTATTTTCTTATTACTCTCTTTGCTTTTTTATGTTTTTATCTTATTGTTTGTCTTTCTCATATGGTTTTCATATTGCTTGTTCTATTGAAATTTTCTTTTCTTTGTAGGTTGTTTTTTGTGGCTTTCAAAGTACCTTATTGTATATTATAAATGGTTCAATATCTTTTCCGTTTAAGTATTTATTGTCTGCTCTTGTTTACTTGTTTATTTTTATCTTTACAATGGAATGTTATCTATGCTTTCTTGTTTAAATGTATTTGGTTCTGTTTTGAGTATTGCTTCAGTAGAATATTTTCTCCAAAATAATTTCCTTTTGAATATTTTTAGGTTGTTCTCGGTTGTTACAGATTTTCTGCCCATAGAATTCCTTTTAATATTTTTCAAAGGTGGTCATGCTTTTATAAATTCCTTTAGTTTTCCCTGGTCTGTACATGTTTCTATCCCTCCCTCGTATTTGAGGGGTAACTTTGCTGGATATGGTTGGCAAATTTTCTTTCAGTATTTGGAATATATCACTCCATTACCTTCTTACCTGAATGGTTTGGGTGGAAAAATCTGAACTTACCCTGATCGTTTGGCCTTTGTATGTAATTGTTCTTTTTTGCTATGCGGCCTTCAGGATTGTGTCCTTATCATTAATACCAAAGCGTTATACATTTCCTTATCATTAACATTAGAAATTTAATATTAGATTATTATACGTCAAGGAGGTGATATCCCTTTAGGGTCAATTCTGTTTGGTATTCTGTGAACTTCCTGGTTACTTTATATTCTGACATGATGTTCTCCATTAATATTTCATGAACTGGTTTCTCAGTGGTTCTTCTTTCTGTTCCAGGACATTTAGTTATCAAGTGTCTGGTGCCCCTTTGATGGTGTCCCACAGTGTTCCTAGGTTATCTTCAGTTTAGGGGGTCATTCTTATAACCCAGTCTTCTCGTTTTTTGGCCCAGAGAGATTCTGATTCAAGATTACTAATTCTTGATTCCACTATTTGTATCTTGCTGTTTTGTTCTGTCACAGTGTTGTTGAGGTTAATACTTTGGTGTTTGCCTTTTGTTTTTCTGTTTGAAGTTGTTGCCTTAGTTCTAATTTTCCATTCATTTTGTTGGTACGTTCTCTCAAGGCACATCCGAGTTCTTTGATTGTGGCACGTGTCTCATCACTGTCTGTTCTCATTTCCCCTCCCGTTGCTTAAAGAAACTGGAGACCATCGCAGTCATCTCCATCGGGAAAGGGCCAGTGGGCTCCTCCTCCAGGGTCTCCTCTGGATCCACGTGTGTGTGCTGTAGTTACCTGTGCTCTTTTCTCCTGTATCCCCAATTGTGCAGAAATCAACTGCTACTTGCAGGACATACTGTTATTATTAGTTCATTTGTTTTTGATGTTTAACTTTGAATACAGAGTTATCCCCACACACCTTCTGCAAAACATGGGTAGACAAGGGAGACCAGGCGATTTTGCACCAGCCTAAACTCAACAGGGCCAAACAATTACATAAGGGTTTCATTAAAGTCCTGGTCTTGAGGCTGGTTCCCTGGTCGCCAGGGGATACCTGACAATTGTTGATCAAACCAATCTTGATAGGAGAGAATTGACTAATTAGAGCATTTATCAAAACCATCCCCTGCTGCATGGCCTGTAGGTGTTGATTCCAGTTACTATTTGGGCTTAGACCTGGGGCAGGCAAGTGTGAGTACTTTGAGTCCTGGGCTATGGGACAAACACTCACCCACTCCTCCCCCAGTATGTGTCTTTTTGATTCTTTACCGACTCAGAGATGGCCAGCCCACCCGATCTGCAGGGAAACCCTGCCATGATCCAGTCTCAGCTCCATCCAGAAGTGGGGAGCCAGTTCACTGCAGAACCAAGTCTCCTCAATCTGGCTGGTGTGCAGTGAGTAAGTTGAGGCCCCCCCAAGTTCTGGGACCCAGAGGCCCATGTATCTTCCTGGCCAAGTTTCCACTAAGCCTCTCCCCGGTTATGCTGGGGGTGTGGAGTTGATCAGCTGCAGGAGGTGGGGAGAAGACTTTGCGCTCAACACTGTGGTCCAGAGCAGCCAGTACCTAGGCAGGGTCCTGCTAGGGTGAAACAGAAGGCAAGCCTTTCCCTCCTTTTCTCAGCATTTTGTCAGTTTCTCCCAGTGGCGGTACCTGGCGCCTTCCTCAATTGTTTGCTTTTCTCAGAGTGGGGCCTGGACCCACGCTTTCCACCACCACAAGTTTTTTCTTGAGCGGGAGTAAGAGCAACTCCCGTTGGCCATGGTTTTGCTCCTCTTCGGTAATCAGTTTGATTCTGTGCATCCCATCTGCAGGAGGCCAGGGATATAGTTGCCTTGCATGTTGTTGGAAAAGGTATGTACTATGAACAAGTCGTTGGTTCTGCAAAATTCTATCATGTGATTTCCACCAGCTTCATTTCTGTCACCAAGATCATATTTCCCAACTACCGTTTCTTCCTCTTTTTTCTAACTTTTGTATTCCAATCACCAGTCATTATCAATGTATCTTGATTGCATGTTTGATCAATTTCAGACTGAAAATGGTAGAATTCTTCAATCTGTCCATCCTTAGCTTTCGTGATTAAATAAATTTGACTGATAGTTATATTGATTGGATTCCTTGAAGCTGATAGCTAAAACCTTACCATAGTCGGCATTGCAGTTCAAGATAGATGCTGAAACATTCTATATGACAATGAATTCGCTGTTCTTGATTGTGTCATCCCCAGCAAAGTGAACCGTATGAATTTCTGATTCAAAATGGCCCAAACCAATCCTTTCAGCTCACTAACACCTAGCTTATTGACCTTTATGCATTCTATTTCATTTTTGACAATTTCCAATTTTCCTAGATTCATATTTCAAATATTTCAAGTTTTGATTATTGGTACATTTTTGCAGCTGTTTCTTCTCATTTTGAGTTTTGCCCTGTCAGCAAATGAAGATACCAAGGTTTACTCGGTTCACATCACCATGGTTGACTTCACCTTGAGAAATGAGAATCCCACTCCTTATCAGTCACATTTGAGAACCTTCTAACCGGATAGGCCTATCGTCTGGCACTGTCTTGGACAGTGTTCTGCTTCCACGGCTCTTGGCCTTCAGTATCTGACAGTGTTTCCATGTTCCGCATAGGGTCTTCAATCGCTGCTTCCTCTGAAGTGGGTAGCTGATTCCTTCTCAATAAGTTGTTCTTAGTCTGGAAGTTCTGCTAAAATCTGTTCACTTTGGGTGACCCTGCTGGCATTTGAAAAACCAGTGACGTACCTTCCAGCAATACACAAGCCACTACAGTACAGCAACTCAACTTCAAGTGGTTGATCCCATAGCAAAGATTTATGTAAATCCTTTTTTTTGTTTTTAACTTTCATTGTGAATTAGGTGATGGCTCGTATATCAGCTAATCATTTTTTTATTCAACAACTTAAACCTCCGAGTGGCTTGCCCTGTCCACCCTCCCCTGTCTCTTTTTAACCCGTTTCACTCATCTCTCGTTGGATCTTATCTTCCCCTTTACCCCAGCTCCACCCTTTAACTTGTTAATTGCCCTGTCCTCTCTTACCCTCTCTCTTGGTAACCATTAGAGTCTATTTATTTTGCTAGGAAAACTTGTGTGTTGATTTCTTAAAATAACAGTGGTCTCACACAATCTTTGCCCTTTTGTGATTGAGTGACTTCACTTAGCACATTGTTCGTCGGATTCAGCGATGTGACGAGGTGGCCCAGTGTCTTCGTTCCTATGTAATGATGTGCCGTGTTCTGCCACGTGTGTTGCCAAAGTGTGCTGACCCATTCTTCCACCTAGGGGCATTTAGGTAGCATCCATTGCCCTGCTATTGTGAATAGCGCTGTGGAGAGCATGCATGCGCACACGTCTACTGCCCTTCTGCCCCTTAATTCTTTAAGATGTGTACCACCTAGAGGGGTTGCTGCTCATAGGGCATTTCTGTCCCAGGTGTTTGAGGAGGCGTCATACCGCTTTCCAAAAGGTGTACTATTTATGCCCCCAGACCCCAGGAGTGTAAACGGCTTCCAGTTTCCACACCACTCCAGTGTTTGTAATTGGTGTGTAGTCTCTAACCTCTTCTGTGTCCTCCTTCCTAGGGGTCAGTATTTGGATTATGAAAAGGAAGAGGTGGAAGCCCAGCCACGGCAATGGAAGAAATATGAGTTCCACTATGACAATGTGCTCTGGGCCCTGCTGACCCTGTTCACTGTGTCCACGGGAGAAGGGTGGCCCACGTAAGTGGCCCCTGGCTTATGTCCACTGGTGGAACCAAGAGGTGGCTTGTTCTGCTCATCAGTCAGCAAATAATCCATAGGAGCTTATGGGCACTGGATGTAGAACCAAAGGAGGCATGGCCCTGACCTCAAGTCAAAAGCCTGAACAGAGCAGAAGATTGCACCACAGAGGGCAGCATAGTGGTCTCCAGAGCCATTCTTTAGGTGGTTGGAGGCTGAGGAAGGGTTGAGGGCTTCCACAGCTCCGTATGTTAACACACTGGCCTCCGTTACAGGCAGTGTGGAGAGGCCAGGTGGGTACGTGCCCCACTGGAAGGAGGCCCTTGGGGCAAGGCACATGCCTGTCAGAAGGCTTAGGTGTGATATGCCGAGTCTAGGCTTCTTTCTGGTCTGGGTGGCCTGGGGGTGCCGGTGAGCACTGTCAGGAGGTCATCTAGACACGCGCAAGTGAACTGGGCTGAATCATAGTACAGACAGGCCTGAGCTTCCAGGCCTGGGTGCCTTCCTCTTTTGGGGGTCAGAGCCAAGGACTCCACAGCTGTCCTCCTTGGAGGACACATGGCCACCCTGAGGGTGAGGCACATAGGAAATTCTAGCTCAGCTTCAGAAAAGTCATGGCTGTGGAATGGGGCCCATAGCGTGGTCATGTGCAAGCCCCATCCCTGCCACCCACAACCCCAGGCTCAGGCATAGAAGCCACCCCAGAGCCCCTTTCTATGACGTGACTTCAGTCGCAGGCTGTGCCCTCTCTGGGTGCCCAGTGCTTGACTATCCGTTTCAACGCAGGGTGCTGAAACACTCCGTAGATGCCACCTATGAGGAGCAGGGCCCCAGCCCCGGCTACCGCATGGAGCTGTCCATCTTCTATGTGGTCTACTTTGTGGTCTTCCCCTTCTTCTTTGTCAACATCTTTGTGGCCTTGATCATCATCACCTTCCAGGAGCAGGGGGACAAAGTGATGTCCGAGTGCAGCCTGGAGAAGAACGAGGTGTGTGCCCCTCCTGCCTGGCATAGGCTGCTCGTGAGTAAGGGGCCTCTGGCCCTCCTTCTGCATGTGATCCCTGCTCATCAGGTCAGTTCTGGCCACCTGTGGCCAGCACGGGGCAGGGACTTCTGTTCTGCGGGGAGCAACCATGCTTGGCCACCCCTGTCTGCTCAGGGGGCTAGGGCAGGTGCCCTGAGCTCATGGCGCCCTTCCCTCTGTGCAGAGGGCCTGCATCGACTTCGCCATCAGTGCCAAGCCCCTGACGCGGTACATGCCCCAGAACAAGCAGTCGTTCCAGTACAAGACGTGGACTTTTGTGGTGTCTCCGCCCTTCGAGTACTTCATCATGGCCATGATCGCCCTCAACACTGCCGTGCTGATGATGAAGGTGTGGGCTGGCTGCCTCTAGAGCTCAGGCCCTCTCTTGGATCACCGTGGGTTGGGACAGTGAGGTTTCAAGAGTGCAGAAGGGAGAGCAGGGTGGACATCTCTGGCCTGGGAGGCTTGGGGTTCTCTCTCCCTCACCCGTGGTCCCAGGGGCAGCATCCAGGCCAGTGGAGCCCACAACCAACAGACTCTTCCTCCCGCAGTTCTACGCTGCGCCCTACGAGTATGAGCTGATGTTGAAGTGCCTGAACATCGTGTTCACATCCATGTTCTCCATGGAATGCGTGCTGAAGATCATTGCCTTTGGTGTGTTGGTACGTGGCCCTGCTGCCGCTTGTCATTTTCTGGAGGCATCTAGGGCCCCCTCTGCAGGGGGCTCGTGGAGTGCCCAGTCAGCTGGGGATTCCTCAAGCCCCAGAGCACCCTGACACTGCAGGAACCATACAGGGCCCTGTGTCCCTCCCCAGTTAGCTCCCAGAGGGACAGCAGGCAAGGCTCGCCTTTCTGGACCCTATGGCTTGTGGTTGTGTTCCATGCTACCCGATCCCGTGGTGGCTCACTTGTGGCTGGAGTCCGCTTTCTCCGGCCTGAGTGCTCCCATACCATTGTCCAGTCCCCACATCCCTGCCATGATCAGGGGCTTCCCCTTGTGTGTCTCATGTGGCACACCCCTGCAGCAGCATTGACCGCCCTGCTTTCTCTCTAGAACTACTTCAGGGATGCCTGGAACGTCTTTGACTTTGTCACTGTGTTGGGAAGTATTACCGATATTTTAGTAACAGAGATTGCGGTAAGTGGTGCTTTCTGCCCCCTCCCATGCCCCAGAGTGATTTCCTCCTGGAGGGTACTTCCTCGGTGGTCTCAGGCCTAGTGGGGCTTTGCCTTCTCTCGGAGACCCTCAGACACCTGGGGCTTACCCAGTGTTACATCACAACTGCTCTTCCTTGGATCAGAAAGTGCTTCGCAGATGGTTGGCCAGGCTGGATACTGCGACCCCTGTGGTAGTCAGTCAGCTCTGAATGTGTCTCAGATGGGTATACGACAGCACAGAGAACATCTACACCAAAGCCAGCAAAACCTAGAGTGTTAGAGACTAGCAGGCATATCCCATAAGCACATGCATCTAACAGCCCCAACCACTGGAGAGGCTCACTCTCGTCCCCCATTCATAGACTGCTTCTAAGAGCTGACGGAATCGGGGTGCGGGCTGCTCTCCACAAAGCTCACAGCGCTTGCATCTTAACCTTGGAGGACAGTGTGCCTAGGAGAGACCTATAGCAGAGAAGGGTGGGCCTTTGCTCTGTGTGCACATGTGGACGTGAGGATCCGTGGAGAAGTCATTTTCTAGGAAGCATTCCTAGGAAAGTCACCAAGAGCCAGATATAGCTCGGGAAGAGGACAAGGGCCAGCAGCTGTGACCCCACCCTAGTCCCAAGGGTCAATCCAGTTGGCTAACTTCTTTCCCGCGCCTGGGGCTGACAAAGAGGCACAGGGTCTAGGACAGTGGATGCTACTGTGCATAGGGATTGGAGCACAGGACCACCTGCATGGCACCCAGTCCCCAGCCGGCACACACCTCACTTGGAGCATTCTTCTGGTGGGAGCTGGTGGCTGTCTGGGAAGATCTGCCAGAGTCCGGCTGGCAGAATAAGGCCAGACTCTTATTCAGGCCATCCTTGCCAAGCCTAACCAAGTTAAGACTGGTTAAGAGAACCCGAATGTCCCAGGGACCCCCGGTTCCTATACTGGCTTCCTCCCATCATTTGGCAGCAGCCCTGCCCTCGTAGTGGTCCTGGTCAAATACATGGCCAGTCTGCGGCTGTTCTTGCCTGCTGCTCTGCTGGGGTTGCTGTTCGTGCTGCTGAGACGTTCCAGCTCTGAGCGGCCCAGTGTGCGTCAGAAGTAAACACTGCCCCTCCTGCACTGTCCTCACAGTCACTGCTGGGTTTGAGCCCACTGACTGTTGGAGCCAGTGTGTCAGTGTGTGACCAAGTGACAGCCATGCTTTTGTCCTGTAGTGGAAGCGCCCCCACCCTGGAGCAGGACCTCCAGGTTCTCCAGCCCCAGATTGTGGGACTGGCAGACACACAGTCCCCACAGGTCTCGGGTAGACAGGTGAGGGGCTACTCCGCATTGGCCATGAGTTTATCTCGAACAGGGGCTGGCAAACCACAGCTCTCGGGCCATAGGCCCTTCTGAAAGTACATGTGGCTCTGAAGTAACACTGAAAACCTTTAAAGGATATTCATATAATGGTCAATTCAGTTGTTTGTATTGTTTATATTCATGGTTCTCGAAAAATTTTTAAATTGTGATGAGGGACAGGATTAGCTCTTCTGCATCAAAGGTTTGCCGGCCCCTGACCTGGAAGGGGAAGTGCCCCAACCCCACAAGACTATCACCAAGCTGGGGTGCCCCTGCATCCTTACGAGGCTGTGGTGTGGGAGACAGTGTCACCCATGAGTCCTGTGTCCTCCCTGCATGTTCTGGGTTGATGGTAGATTGAGTCCCACTGATAGATCTCTGACACCTCAGGTCTGACACTGCCCCAGGGACCTTAAGCCCACACCTGGAGTAGGTATCATGCCCAGTTGAGATGAGCCACTGTCCTGTCCAGGTTAAGTTCCAGTGTAATTCAGTGTGTGACCAAGTGGCTGGTTGGTCACCTCAAGGCATGGTCCACAGAAGGACCTCGTGTTGAGAGCTCCTGTTGGGAAACTGGACACCTAGCATTGGGGGCCTGGCAGCAGATTCCTGGCAGTAACGGTGACTGAGCCAGCCATACTGCAAGGGTGCCACCCTGGGGCCCAGACACAGCCTGATGCACCTGTTCACTCCGTCCACGGATCACTGTGTGAACACCGAGAACGCTGAGTGGCCAAGTGATTTTTAGTGCACCCACTGCAGTGGTGCCGCCTGGCGGACAGTGGTGTGGGCTTCCCAGGGCTTGTCCCCAGTTGGCTGGTCTTGTTCTCTCCAGACCCCTGGCCAGCCCTTCCCCTGCCCTGGAGTCCCTTGATCCTTAGCAGATTACAACTTGTTGAGCGCCTGATGCAACCCTGCCTTTCTGGGCCATCTCTGTGCAGGGCCTTGCAAGTTGGCCCTCGCAAACTGAGCCAGCCCACCTCCACTGTGGGTCTGAACTTTGCCTTCCAGTCGCACACCAGAGGTGGCCCCTCTCGTTAGTAACTGCCCTCTGCAGATGGCACAGCCTGGCACCAGAGGAATCTGCACTGTGGCTGTCCTGTGGGGGCTTTCTAGGGATGCCACACGGTATCTTTCTCTACCACAAAAGCCTCTAGCCGTATGGGGTCTTCCGTGACATTGTCCAAGAAGCAGGGCCACTACTACTGCAGCTGAACCTTCTAGAGAGCCTGCCCCAGAGGTGGAGCAGCTTTGTGAGCCGCCTCAGAAGTGGTCGCAGCAGCATTGCCCAGATGGTATGTGCTGCTTCCCAAACCCAAAGACACCAGCCAACAGTCGGAAGTGCAAGATGCTGTGATTTGTCTTTGACCTTGGGACACATGTCTCAGCACGCCTTAGCCAGACCATTGTTTCCCTGAGACGCTGATGTGTCCGGCCTACGGATCCTTGAAGGGATTCCCTCCTGGGCCCTGGAGTGCAGTTACATAATGTCTTCAACATAGGAGCTGGATGGGCAGGCCTGGTTCTGAAGGGACAGAGGGGTGGATGGGAAAAGCAATTGACAGGTAATGAGAACACGTGTAAAACTGAGAGGGTATCGCTAAAGAGACATTTAGAAAGTAATGTAAAGGGTAAAATGCTTACACTGGAAAAAAGAAGAAAGTGAAAAAAATTAATGAGTTAAGCATCTAACAAGAAGTTTGAAGTAAAAGGCAAAATAAGCTTGCTTTTGCAAAATAGAGGGAAGGATAACAATAGAAATGTGGGACGTTTTTTAAAAAGATACCGTAGAGAAAAATAAAACGCTAAACTTACCTCTTTAAAGATTTTTAAAAAGACACACCTCTGGGCTAGATTAAGAACAAAGAAGAAAGGTCAAATAATTAATGTAAATTTGAAGAAAGGAGCCATGCATTTAAACACAGGAGAGATTAAAAAAGTAACAGCATATTTTGAACAACTTAATGCTAATAAATTTGAAAACAGGTGAAATGGATAGATTACTAGAAAATATTAATAACTTAATTTCACCAAAAATTTAGGGAAAACTGAAGTTTTTTTGTACCAAATAAACCATTAAGGAAGCCGAGTTAAACTAGTAACTCAAAAAACAGGTTCTACTGTGTTTTACAGATTAGATTTTCTACCCAAAATACAAATGCCTTTCTGGACAGATTCTTCCAGAGGCTAGCAAAAGAATGAGTGCCCACTAACTGTTTGACGAGGTGAGCACAGTCTTGCACGCAGACTAGAAAAAGATGGGGATAAGGACCTCTCACTGATGAATGAAGATGCAAAGTCCCAGCAGCTCAAAAGCAAGCCTGAGCAGGCATGTGGCACGAAAATGGTCACGCTGTGTTGCGTATTGTGTTCCAACACCAGAAATGTATTCGTGCCATTTCTCTTGACAGATTGAAGGAGACACTTCATACAGTCATCTCAGTGAATGCACAGAACACATTCAACAAATTTACCATATGTTCGTGCTAAAAATGGTCATCCATTCAGGAATTACTATCTTGACAATATCTGCAACACATACCATGCAGATATCTACAATGACGATTTAAGAAAGAGCTCCCTTCACCATCAGAAGACAAGAGAGTCCTGCTATCACGATGGCTCTGCCTTGAGCCTGCGCCCCGTGGGCAGTGCAGTCGTCAGATGTCAGCTCCACTAGGCAGGAGCTTTGTCCTGTTCACTGCCTTGCTCCAGGTGCTTAGATTGGAGGCTGGTGCTTTGCAGGCACTCGCGTGTAAGGATTAGAAAAGGAATAAGTAGAATGCCATGGTGCATGGATAGAAAGTAGTTAGAGCACTTAGCAAGATTGCCGCATTGAAGACTACTCAAATAAGTCAACTGTGCTTCTTTACAGCGTCAGCAATCCTAGCAACAATCAAATATGCGTGCCAGGTCTTTGTGTAGACGATCACATGCCTTCACTGAGAGATGCTGAATCACCTGAGTAACCTCACTGCCATCCAGTCCCTTCTGACTCAGATACCCTAGTACAGAGTGCAGGCTCCCGTTTGGGTTTTTGGGTTGGGAATTTTTTCCGGGGGCGGGGCTTCTTTTTTTTCCTTCGGACCACGGGTGAGTTCCAGTCACTGGCCTTGTGTGTGGCAGCTCAGTGTGGAGCCCATGCCATGAGAGCTCCTTATTGAAATAGATGAAAGGCTTAGAAGGATCATGGTAACTGATGAGTAGTGTCAATTTTATAGAGATTTGATTTGACACAGAGCGCCAGCAATTGCAGACTGGAACAATATCAAGGTGCCATTTAATTGTGCTAAATTGTCAGACATTAGAAATTCTCAAAATACTAAGTGTTGGTGAGGATGGAGAGCAGCCAAAGTTGCCCACACTGCCAATAGGGCATCCTTTTCCTGGGACTGTTAGTATTACCTAAAAGTCAAACATGTGGTGATCTGCAACCCCAGACCACCTTCCCTGTAGGGCATCTGTCCAGAGGGCGTCTCATACAGATGGACCTGGACAGGCTTACACAGACAGATGTCCACATCAACATTGTTCGTGATCATGAAAACTGGAAACATCTAAGGGCCCATCCAAATAGAATGCATTCATCAGCCGTGGAATAACAACACCATGCAGTGACACACAAATGATACCTACCTCGACAGG